TGTTTCCACATCCTATGCATGAAAACAGGAACTGGGGTGCAGAAAAAAGGTAGCAGTTCCCCAAGCTGTTTGGAACAATCTACCTGATGAGTATCTTCAAAAGCTTTGTGCACAAGTACTATGTATATATACCTAGAATTGATGCGGTTTTAAAGGAAAAGGGCAGTCAACAATATTGATTTGATTTCTTTTCTGTTCATTTACTTTCTATTTTGTTAATTGACAAAAATAAACTAATAACTAACATTTATAAAGTTGATCCAGGGAATATCCAATTGCCTCTTGGGGGATCAGGGAGGATTTTTTTACCCAGCAGGAGCAAATTGGATCATGCGTTGCTGTTTTTTTTTTGCCTTCCTCTGGATCAACTGTGGGTAAAGGATTATAATTAATTTTAATGGTTGAACTGGATGGACTTTTGTCTTTTTTCAGCCAGACTATGTAATTAACATATCTATTTCTGAAAGCATTCTTAATTTACAGCATTTTTTCACACCTGCCTAAGACTTTTGCACAGTACTACGGTTTTTTTTTTTTTTTTTATTTGGCCAAAAGCATGGCCAAGTTTAATAAGACTCTTGTGGCATCATGGTTCGTTTGATTCATACACTATAACAATGCTGTTTGCCTCCTAATTTGAGATGTAAGTAATGTATAACAATGCTGTTTGCCTCCTAATTTGAGATGTAAGTAATGTATAGAAAACAATGTCATTGAGGCGTATTGAGAAATATTTTATTTCATTCATCATAAATATTAAAACATAAATTTAAAAAAATGTTCATAATGCATATTAAGCAGATAGACAGCTGTATAGAGGAATGCAAGTTCAGTCCACAGATGTAAGTTCTTCAATTGTTTTACTTCATGGGTATATTCCACAATGCTTTCTACCATAATAAGATCTACTAAACTGGGAGAAAAGTGCAAGTACACTAAACTCACAGCAACCAAAGACCAAACTCAAATAAAATTAGAAAGGGGGGGTCAGGGTTAAAAGGTTCTCCTTGTTTAGGGGAGCACTTCATGCCAAAAATAATCCTTGGCCAAAACTGACCATCATTTATTTGAGATCTATGATGAACAAAGGTTTCTGCAAGGCACGTCTACACAGGTCCATACCTTGTTTGCTTAGGACTCATTACCTGTTGCAATTTATCTGCTAACAAAAAATGTCCTTCATAACTTGTGTATTCCACAAAACAGATCTCACCTTCATGTGGGACAGCAGGGAACATCTGGAATCACTGGTCCTGAGAAGGGTGCATTCACACTTATGAATGCACCCTGCCTTCAATTAGATGCAAGAACTCCAAGGTGAATGCATTCAGGGCCAATCACTCACATGTGGACGTGGCATGAGAGATTACTTGCGGGAGGCTGTGAATAGCTGCAGAAGCCAGCAGCCTCACATTGCTTTCAATAGGGCAGTCTTCCACAAATCTTTACGGTAACTCCACTGGGATTCTGACATGTAATCAGAGGCAGTTTGCATTTGCAGGTAGCAATGCACCCTAAAACTAAGGAGCTGGGGACACACAGGGATCCAAGCAGGAGAGGCATCTTCAAGTAAGCAGGAAAAACACAACAGTCTGTGAGAAGGGAGCAGGGATGGAGCCGAACTGCACAGTGTGCACATATGGACACACAGGGCCAGCTAGGGAGCAAGCCTGCACGACTGCCCCCATAGCAAGCCACTTGCTATGGAGGCACAAGGGGTAGGGGTGAGGATCCAGGAGCAACAGCAGGGGACCCCAGAAGAGAAGTATCAGGGCTGCTCTGTGCAAAACCATTGCACAGAGCAGGTACGTATACCAGGTTTGTCGTTTAAAGAAAATAACTGAACCTTTACAATCACTTTAGGGTACAAATAGCATAAACAATGATTATGTAGCACGCATGTGTGCAAAATAATTCTTAGCTTCACAATGGAACAGTACAAATCTGTGTTATAGTAAGATAAATAAAAAGAAATACAATTCTAATTCTCAGCTAGCTGTTACATTACACTTTGAGGGGAAATAAGAAAGCCAAGAACATTAAAGAGAAAAACTACAGCATTGGCCATGTAGCTACAATTTATTGCCAAAAGTATTGGGGTGCCTACCTAAAGGTGTAAACATGCACATGAACTTTAATGGCATCCCAGTCTTAGTCCGTAGGGTTCAATATTGAGTTGGCCCGCCCTTTGCAGCTATAAACAGCTTCAACTCTTCTGGGAAGGCTGTCCACAAGGTTTAGGAGTGTGTCTATGGGAATGTTTCACCATTCTTCCAGAAGCACATTTGTGAAGTCAGGCACTGATGTCAGATGAGAAGGCCTGGCTTGCAGTCTCCACTCTAAGGCTACGTTCACACTAGCCTTGTGTGCAGGCGGCAGAGAGGCGTTTGGTAAGCGTTTTTACCGCTTCCCAAACGCCTCTGCCAATTCTGCACATTACAGCACATGGTGCTGTTCTAACGGGAGCGTTTGCGTTGCGTCGCGGCAAAACAGACGCCTCTGGACGAGTCAGGAGGCTTTGAAGCCTCCTATTCTCGTCTATGGTGCCGCTCCGCAAACGCCCGGCCGGCGTTTGCGGTGCGGTTGCGACGCGGTTGCGGGGCGTTTGCGGAGTGGTAACACCACTCAAACTGCATTATAGGCGTTTGTGGGGCGTTATTAACGCTCGGCAAACGCCTAGCAACCGCCGCTAAACCGCGCATGCGGCGTTTGCGGAGCGTTTGCCGAGCGTTAAAAAAACGCTCCGCAAACGCCGGACCAACGCTTGCCAAAACAGCCTAGTGTGAACGAGCCCTAATTCATCCCAAAGGTGTTCTATCAGGTTGAGGTCAGGACTCTGTGCAGGCCAGTCAAGTTCCTCCACCCCAAACTCACTCATCCATGTCGTTATGGACCTTGCTTTGTGCACTGGTGCACAGTCATGTTGGAACAGGAAAGGACCATCCCCAAACTGTTCCCACAAAGTTGGGAGCATGAAATTGTCCAATATGTCTTGGTATGCTGACGCCTTAAGAGTTCCCTTCACTGGAACGAAGGGGCCAAGCCCAACCCCTGAAAAACAACCCCACACCCTAATCCCCCCTCCACCAGTCAGGCAAGTACCATTCTCCTAACAACCGCCAAACCCAGAAACATCCATCGGATTGCCAAAGAAGCCCGATTCATCACTCCAGAGAACACATCTCCACTGCTCTAGAGTCCAGTGACAACGTGCTTTACACCACTACACCTGCCACTTTGCATTTCACTTGGTGATGTAAGATTTGGATGCAGCTGCTTCCTTTCATGAAGCTCTCTACACACTGTTGTGTTAATCTGAAGGCTGCAAACAGTTTGGAGGTCTTTAACTATTGACTCTGCAGACAGCTGGCAATTTCTGCGCACTGTGCGCAGAGTTAAATACGGTTTTTGAAAAAACAACTTGTGGTATTTATGTAAAAAATAGTCAATAGTCAAAGAAAAAAAAAGACACAAAACAACTGTGTTAACTATTCAGTGATGCTTAACACTTAAAATGTATTTTTTTTTAATTTTTATCTCAATTTTTTTCAACACAGCACCAGAGCAAAATTAATGAAGATACACCAATAACAGTTCTAGGGCCCTGTTTAAAAAAAAAAAAAAAAAAAAAAAAATGTGGCATGACTGTGACAAGCATTCACCCAGCACAATTAACAGCTTAATTGTTTTTCTAATTAACAAACATGTCATACTTACCTGCTGTGTGCAAGGGTTTTGCACAGAACAGCCTTGATCCTCTTCTCGGGTCTCCTGCCGTTGCTCTGGGTTCCTTCGCCCTGCCAAGTGGCTTGCTATGGCGGCACTAGTGCGTGCTTGCTCCCGAGTCCCACCCTGTATGTCCATAAGACACAACCCCTGCTCCCTCTTCACTGGCTGCGATTGACAGCAGCAGCAGGGACTATTGGCTCCTGCTGCTGTCTCTGAACCAATGATCAGGCAGAGAGTCAGGACAGCAACCGTTCTTGTACACATCGCTGGATCAGGATTGGGCATTGTGGGGGGGACTGCTGGGGGCGCTACATAGTGAAGGTTTTTTACCTTCATGCATAGAATGGGAGGGGGATTTCTTACCAAAAGATACAGATAGAAATAAAAATCTGGAATCAGTTATAACCTGTTACATTATGGCTACTTTAAAAAAAAAAAAAAAAAAAAAACTCATTTAACTGGTGTCACAGGCAAAACATGTAATGGGAAATGTAAGAAACCTGCCAGATGTTATAACCCACTCTGCTCATAAAATACTTCCTAGATTTGGGCTTTTAAAACAGAACCTTATCCAGAAATAATACAACTTATTAAATGGAATCATATAGCTCTTTGACACTGCAGTTCTCTCTTCTCATTCTCATTAAAACCAATGATCCCTCTTCTGGCAGCTTCAGAAGCTCTTGCAATGCAACAGCTTCTATAGCAACATAAGCAGGAGATTGTGTTTCATGCAGACACAAGTGAAGGGCAAGACTGCATAACCTTTTAGCACTGCTGTATGAACAGGCAATATTACAGGGCACAAGACAAAAGCAGGCCTTAAACACAAGACTTTCAAAATAAATTATATTTTCATGGAAAAAAGGACAGTGTGCAACATTACATTTACTGATGCATTACATGAGAATTTAAATATCAACTGAAGGACCGCCCACCCGCAATATACTGCAGATAGGCAGCCTGTGCAGGCAAAGTGATGTACTGGTATGTCGCTGACTGCGTCTGGGTTTAGGCTCCTCCCTGTCAACACCTGCTGTGGCTGTACACAGCGGGAATCTGTCAGCAAGTCTTGGACAATGATTCATGGCTGGGAACTGCTGTGTCCAATCACAGCCAACAGCACTGTGTTGACAGTCTACACAGGGCTCTGTACAGAGGGAACAACCTCTCTGTTTTTTATTCCTACAAAGCTTATTTGCTGCTGGAGTGCAGAAATTATGAAAGCAGCATATTATTGAGAATAAAGAACACAGAAGATCAGAGGTCATTCAATGCATTGGTTTGACTTTATCAAGAAAGAGGGAACATGCTGCCTTTAAAAATTCACTGCGGTTCATAGGGATACCCGTTTTACCTAAAAGAGCACGGTGCATGGCAACGGCCAAACAATCAGGTCCTAGTTTTTGAACCAGCTTCCAAATAACTAGCAGGGACTGATAAGCCACTGGCAACCAAAGCTTCTTCCAAAGTGTCCAGCACTGTTTGACAAACTTTTTGGTCCGACTTGCTATCATCATCTAGAATATTATACAAAGTGTCCACTTTGGATCTGAACTCTATCAATACAAAGCAGGTCACTACTCCATAACGGAAAACATCAAATGGCACAGCTTCATGGTCTCGGCACTGTATCTTCTTAAGGAGAGCAGCCAAAGTCTCTTTAGGTAGATCACCATCTTGACAAATTTTGGTCAGTAAGTCAGTGTGAGTCTTGCCATTTAAACCTGGCTTTTTTTTCTTTCCTCCAGCACTGAGACAGTCATAAGCAACACTCAGATTGTTGTTAAAGGCAGTCCTATACATAAAAATAAATGTGTTAGTAAAAGGAGAAGTGTGGGAAACAAAGATACACACTTACCTACCTGCTGCTTCATTGATCTGATGCAGCAAGCTGCCCCCTGCCGGCTCTAAGCACAAGAACTGAGTGGTCACTAAATTCTCCCCTCCGCTCTGAGCAGAGAGCAGTGACTGTCAGTCACCTCTCTCTATTCTGCCCTTCCAGCACTCACTGGAGCGCGGGGCAGGAGAAGGAGTGGGAGCGGCTGGCTCAGGCTCTCATTGGTGTACTGAGAGGCCAAGCCATCTGCCTGTAAGGAATCTAGGAGGATCCCAACATTATTGTTGGAACATCCAGAGTTTGGACTGGCTCTGTGATGTCAGCCGAAAGTGGGATTTAGCCTGACTCACATGACAAGTATGGCCAAAAGAGCTTAGGCCATACTTTTCTTTTAAAACCCATATCAAGTTTTGTTTTTATATTCAAATATTTTTTATTCTAGTTTTTCAACAAATACAGTAACATGTAAAAGTACAGAGAAACAGTACTGGTTCTTTGTTGTACAAGTGATTAAAGTAGTGATTGACAATTCCATAATATCAAGTTTTTTTAATGCTTTCCACAGATCCCCTTCTCAACCCTGCAGCCAAAAACGGCATATGGTCAATTACCTTTACCAGCTACAAACGTTCTGCTACCGCTGTGCAGGCAAATGCAATGTGCTAGCCATGCTACTCAAGAAAAGTAGACAAAGATTTTTCACCAAATAATAGGACTTTTAAGGCAACAAAACCCAAAGTAAAAAGAATAACATTTTTATTACAGAACAGTAAAAGGCATTAAGCCATCACACAGAACATATACAGTTAAAAACAATATAATGTACAGTGCCTTGAAAAAGTATTCATACCCCTTGAAATTTACCACATTTTGTCATGTTACAACCAATAACGTAAATGTATTTTATTGGGGTTTTATGGGATGGACCAACACAAAGTGGCACATAAATTGTGAAGTGGAAGAAAAGTATAAATGGTTTTCAAATTTTTTTCTACAAATAAATATCTGAAAAGTGTGGCGTGCATTTGTATTCAGTCCCCTTTACTCTGATACCCCTAACCAAAATCTAGTGGAACGAATTGCTTTCAGAAGTCACCTAATTAGTAAATAAAGTCCACTTGTGTGTAATTTAATCTCAGTATAAATACAGCTGTTCTGTGAAGCTCTCAGAGGTTTGTTAGAGGACATTAGTGAACAAACAGCATCATAAAGACCAAGGAACACACCAGACAGGTTAGGGATAAAGTTGTGCTGAAGTTAAAAGCAGGGTTAGGTCATAAAAAAAATATCCCAAACTTTGAACATAGCACAGAGCATTGTTCAATCCATCATCCCAAAATGGGAAGAGTATGGCACAACTGCAAACCTACCAAGACATTGCCGTCCACCTAAACTGACAGACCGGGCAAGGAGACCATTATTCAGAGAAGCAGCCAAGAGGCCCATGGTAACTCTGGAGGAGCTGCAGAGATCCACAGCTCAGGTGGGAGAATCTGTCCACAGGACAACTATTAGTCGTGAATTTCAAAAATCTGGCCTTTATAGAAGAGTGGCGAAAAGAAAGCCATTGTTGAAAGAAATCCATAAGAAGTCCTGTTTGCTGTTTGCGAGAAGCCATGTGGGGGACACAGCAAACATGTGGAAAAAGCTGCTCTGGTCAGATGAGACCAAAACTGAACTTTTTGGTCTAACAGCAAAATGCCATGTGTGGCGGAAAACTAACACCGCACATCACCCTGAAGGTACCATCCCCACCGTGAAACATGTTGGTGGCAGCATCATGCTGTGGGGATGCTTTTCTTCAGCAGGGACAGGGAAGCTGGTCAGAGTTGATGGGAAGATGGATGGAGCCAAATACAGGGCAATCTTAGAAGAAAACCGGTTAGAGCTTGCAAAAGACTTGAGACTGGAATGGGGGTACACCTTCCATCAGAACAGCGACCCTGAACATAAAGCCAGAGCTACAATTGGATGGTTTAGATCAAAGCGTATTCATGTGCTAGGATTGGCCCAGTCAAAGTACAGACGTATTCCAATTGAGAATCTGTGGCAAGACTTGAGAATTGCTGTTCACAGACGCTCTCCATCCAATCTGACAGAGCTTGAGATATTTTACAAAGAAGAATGGGCAAAAATTTCACTCTAGATGTGCAAAGCTGGCAGAAACATACCCAAAAAGACTTGCACTGTAATTGCAGCGAAAGGTGGTTCTATAAAGTATTTTCCTTCCACTTCACAATTCTGTGCCACTTTGTGTTGGTCTATCACATAAAATCCCAATAAAGTACATTTACGTTTTTGGTTATTTCAAGGGGTATGAATACTTTTTCAAGGCACTGCATATAAAGTGGCTGAATAGGTTATACAAGCTTTATATGAATGTGAATCCTTCTACTTCAACTGGCTGAAAAAAAGGAGAAGGAATATTTCTTCAGTTGGAATAACCAACGCATTTCAGAACAATGTCCAACAACAGACATTGTTCTGTCACAGTTATCCCCCATAAAAATAATGGGTTAGCCGCACTTTAGCAAAAGCTCAGCAAGGCAGTGTGAAGCTGCTCTTAGGGCTGGTTCACACCAGATGCAGTCCAGTACTTTTTTTTCTGCATCAAAACTGCATGCACAGAGTTTTCCATGTATTCCAATGGCACTAGTTCACACCAATGCAGTCAGTTCCAGGCACAGAAAAAAAAAAGTAGAACATTACATTTTTTCTGCATAGAACTGTACTGGAAAACAGTAAAACGCTTTAAAAAAGCACCGGAACAGAGTGTGGTATGAACTGTAAGCAAAATCGCATCTGGAGTGTGTTTTTGTGGCGTGAACGCCAGGGCTCAGGGCTAGTTCACACTACATGCGTTCTAGTAGAACATGCTGCATTTTTCCTACACAGAATTGTACTGGATCATGGTAAAATGCATCAAAAACACACTAAATCCCAAATGACCCAAAAAAGCAGGGAAAAAAAGCATCGGGAACACATCAAAAATGCACAAGCAGAAATGCATCCAGGCTGTGTTTCTATGGTGTGAACCAACCCTCAGGCCTGGTTCACACCTATGCTTTTTGTAGAAACGCACTACAGTCCATTTAACATTGTTTCCTATGGCACACGTTCACATCTATGCTTTTTTCAGCCTCTTCGGGTTTGGAAAGGGTCAGGGACTTTATGAAACACAAAACGGTGCATTTTTGGTTCCAAAGAGTTTAATAGAGACGCTGAAGAAAAGTGTAGTATGTTTTGTCTTTTTTATTCTGCCCAACAACAAATTGTCTCAAATAAAAACATTAAAAAGAAAATGCATCACAAAACACTTGTACAAAAATGCAAAACACACCGCAAAAAGCACTGCAGAAATGGGTCAAAAGCAAACTGCATAGGTGTGAACCAGGACTTAGCGTGTAATATTAAGAATGGTTGCATTCCCCAGCCTCCACTCTCCTTGCACTCCCTACCTGAATCACAGGGAGCCTCTCCCTACAGCCTTCAGATTTTGGCTGTGCATGGCTTTGCCCATATCGCTGCACATCCATTCCTAGGGACCTATGAATGGGAAGATTACAGGTCCCTTCTGGCACTGCGGCAGGGGTGCAGTTTACTTCCTCCAGCCCCAGAATGAGTAATTCTTCGGTCATACGGAATTCTAACCTGAAGTCACATGATTTCTAAGTTGGATGTTAGCGCGACTTGGAAGACATCTGTTCGACTTCATGCACAGGTGTCTATGCAAGTCACTCCTGAACTTGTAAAAAGTAGTACATGAACTACTTTCAAAATCGGTGCAACTCCTTAGGAGTTGCACCAATTTGACTGATTCCATTATGGACAATAGGGTGTGACTTGTAATGCTATTTTAAACTATCAAATCACGACAAGTCACACTGTGGCATATCATCCATGGGTGCAGGGTGTTCACTGCACACGGACCCTGAGGATTGGGGGGGGCCCTCTCTGCTCTGAACACCCAGCACCCATGGATGAAATGTATCATCAGAAGCACAGCCAGGGATATCAGTGCAGCGGTGGGGACAGTTACAAGCAGCAATCTCCCTGTAAGGATTTCAATGAAACAGCTGAAAGCTGCAGGAGGGAGAGGAGGAGTTGCAGCTTCCAGCTGCTTCATTGAAAGCCATGCTTGTACCTATCCCCACTGCTGCACTGATCACCCCTGACTGGGCATCAGATTCCCTTTCTGGGCCCTCCGTGTGCTCAAGCCCCCCCCCCAGATCTCTGATGCCCCGTCTTCTCTCTGACACAGTGCCCAGCCCCTCCCCCCATCCTCCACAGCAATGGCAGATCAGAGGAGAAAGGCTGAATCTGCTCTGCCTCCCCGTCCCCACCCACACTCCAGTCTGTGCAGCTTCTGAGAAGAGGATGAGTGGGCGGGAAATTGTGTACAGAGCAGTTGGCAGCTGTGTGATACTTCTGAATGTGACAGTGAGCCAGGAACCATCCATGTGAGTCCTTCCTTCCATCCTTCTTCCCCCCTTTTTTTCCATCCTCCCTCCCCTCCTTTCCTTCCTCCATTCCCTTTCTTTCCTTCCCTCCTACCTCCATCCATTCTCTCCCTTATCTTCCTTCCTTCCACTAGCCACACCCTCCTTTTTTTTCCTTCCTCCATCCCCCCCTTACCTTTTTTTTCTTCCTTCCTTCCCTCCTCCATCAATTCCTTCCCTTTTCTCTTTTCCTTCCTTGCGCCATCCATTCCCCCTCCCTTTTTTTCCTTTCCTTTCTGCATCCACTCCCTTTCCATCTTTCTTCCTTCCCTTTTCTTCTTCCTCCCTCCATCCATTCCCTCCCCTCTTTCTTTCCTTCCTTCAACCATTCCCTTCCTTTTCTTCTTTCCTCCATACATTCCCTCCTTCCTTTTCTTCTACCTTTTTTCTTCTTCCTTCCTTTTTTTTCTCTATCCCCCTCCCTTCCTTCCTCCCTCTCCTCCTTTCTTCCTTCATCCATCCCCTCCCTCCATTTTATTACTTTTTCCTTCCTTCCTCCTCCATCCATTCTTTGCCTCCCTTCTTTCCTCCCTCCCCTCCCTTCATCTATTCCCTTCCTTCTTCCTTTTACACCCCCCTTCCTTCCTTCAACCACCCCCCCCTCCCTCCCTTTTCTTCCTTCCTTTCCTTCATCCATCCCCTTCCTTCTCTCCTCCATTCCCTCCCCTCCTTCTCCACTCCCTCCCTTCTTTCTTTCCTCCCTGTCCTCTTTCTTTCTTCCTTCTTCCATCTATTCCCTCCCCTCCTTCCCTTCCTTCATTCCCTTTTCTTCCTTCCTCCATTCCCTTTCTTTCCTTCCCTCCTACCTCCATCCATTCTCTCCCTTATCTTCCTTCCTTCCTCCAGCCACTCCCTCCCCTTTCTTCCTTCCTTCCTCCATCCCCCCTCTACCTTTTTTCTTCCTTCCTTCCCTCCTCCATCAATTCCCTCCCTTTTCTCTCTTTCTTTCCTTCCTTGCTCCATCCATTTCCTCCCTTTTTCTTTCTTTCCTTTCTCCATCCACTCCCTTCCATCTTTCTTCCCTTCCCTTTTTCCTCTCCCTCCTCCCTCTCCCTTCCTTCATCCATTCCCTCCCCTCCCTTCTTTTCAACCATTCTCTCTCCCTTCTTCTTTCCTCCATACATTCCCTCCCTCCCTTTTCAACCTTCCTTTTTTCTTTCCCTCTATCCCCTCCCTTCCTTCTTTCCTCCCTCCCCTCCTTTCCTTTCTTCCTTCATCCATCCATCCATTCCCTCCCTCCATTTTCTTATTTTTTCCTTCCTCCATCCATTCTTTGCCTCCCTTTTCTTCCTTTCTTTTTTCCTCCCTCCCTTCCCTTCATCTATTACCTTGCTTCCTTTTACACCCCCTTCCTCCATTCCCTCCCTTTTCTTCCTTCCTTCCTCCATCCATCCATCCCCTTCCTTCATCCATTCCATCCCTTTGTTCATGCACTCCCTCCCTTCTAGCTTTCCTCCCTTTTCTTCCTTCCTTCCTTCTTCCATCTATTCCCAATCCCTCCCTCCTTTTCTTCCTTCCTTCACTCCTTTCCTTTGTTCCTTCCTCCATCCCCTCCATTCCTCCTTTCTTTCCTTCCTTCCTTCCTCTAACCACTCCTCCCTCCCTTTTCTTCTTTCCTCCTTCCATTCCCTCCCTTCTTTCCTCCCTCTCCTCCATCCATCCCGCCATTTTCTTTCTTCCTTTTTTCCTTCCACTCTTTCTTCCTTCCTTCCTCCATTCTCTGCCTCCCTGCCTTCTCCCCCCCCCCCCTCCCCTCCTTTCTTCATCCATTCCCTCCCTTTTCTTAGTTTCCTTTCTCCCTTTCTTTCCTTCCATTTATTCCTTCCCTTTCTCAATCCATTCCTTTTTCTCCCTTCATCCATTCCCTCTCTTTTCTCCCTTTTCTTCCTTCATCTATTCCCTCCCCTCCTCCATCCATTCCTTCCCCTCCCTTCCTCCATCCCTCCCTCCCTCCCTTTTCTTCCCTTCCTTCCTTCCTCCCCTCCTTTCCTTCCCTTCCTACCTCCCTCCATCCATTCCCTCCCTCCTTCATTGCCTCCCTTATCTTCCTTCCTTCATCAACTCCCTTTCTTTCCTTCCTTCCTCCAGCCATTCCCTCCCTTTTTCCTTCCTCCATCCATCCCCTCCCCTTTTCTTCCTTCCTCCATCCATCCATCCATTCCTTCCCTTTTCTTCCTTCCTCCATCCATCCATTCCTTCCCTATTCTTTCTCTATCCACTTCCTCCCTTTTCTTCCTTCCTCCATCCATTCCTTCCCCTCCCTTCTTTCATTCCTTCCTCCATCTATTCCCTCCCCTCCCTTCTTTTTCCCATTCCCTTCCATTCCTTCCCCTCCCTTCATCCATCCATTCCTTCCTCCAACCATTCCCTCCCTCCAGCCATACCTTCCCTCACTTTTTTCCTCTACTACCTCCCTTCCTTCTTTCCTCCATCACCCGTTTACCTTTTTTTCCTTCCTCCATTATCTCCCTCCATTTTCTCTCTTCTTTTTTTCCTTCCACCCTTTCTTCCCTCCTACATCCATTCTCTGCCTCCCCTTTCTTCCTTCCTTCCTCTATCCCCTCCCTCCCTTCTTTTTTGCCCTCCCCCTTCCTCCTTTTCTTCATCCATTCCCTCCCTCAATTTTCTTTGTTTCGTTTCCATTCCATCCACCCTCCCTTCTTTCCTTCCTCTCCATCCATTCCCTCCCCTCCTTTCTTCCTCCATCCATTCCCTCCCCACCTTTCTCCATCCATTCCCTCCCTTTTTTCCTTCCTCCCTTCATTCCCTCCCTCCTTCCTTCCTTCCTCCATCTATTCCCTCCCTTTTTTTCCCTTCCTTTGTTCCTCTCCCTATTCCCTCTCTTCTCCCCCCCTTCGTCCCCTTCATCTATCCATTCCCTTCCTTCCTCCATCCCCTTCCTCCCTTCTTTCTTTCCTCCCCTCCCTTTTCTTCCTTCCTCCATCCATTCCCTCCCTTTTCTTCCTCTTCTCCCTCCCTCCCTCTTCTTCTCCCTCTTCTTCCTCCCTCCCTCCCTCTTCTTCCTCCCTCCCTCCCTCTTCTTCCTCCCTCCCTCCCTCCCTCTTCTTCCTCCCTCCTTCCTCCCTCCCTTTCCTTCCCTTTCCTTCCCCTCTTCTTATTTTGTGCTCCTGCAATAGCATGTATGAGTACAGCCAAAGAAGTTTAGTTTTGTGTCATCAACCTATGGTAGTAGTTGGCCCCATGTGCGGACATCTGATGTAAGGGAGACTGTGAGAGGGACTCATGATATAAGGGGGTACAAGTTATGTTTATTCATCCCAATCTAATGACAGCCCAATATATACTAGTGCTCCCTGTTCACTCCCTACTGACACCATCCACTGGCCACCCAGAAGCATTTTGAAAAAAATTATAAAAATAATAAAACATTAAATTGTAAAAAAATAATAAAATTGTAAAAAAAAAAAAAGCGCAATAATAAAAATAAAGAACTACTGACACCATCCTGCACATACTACCCCCCGCCATACACTCCGCACTCCTTTCGATGTACATACTACCCACCGCCACACGCTCCGCACCCCTTTCCCTGTACATACTACCTACCGTCACACGCTCCGCACCCCTTTCCCTGTACATACTACATACTACCCACCGCCATATATCGCTCCGCACCCCTTTTCCCTGTACATACTACGCTCCGCACCCCTTTCCCTGTACATACTACCCACCGCCATACGCTCCGCACCCCTTTCCCATACATACTACCCACCGCCATACGCTCCGCACCCCTTTCACTGTACATACTACCCACCGCCATACGCTCCGCACCCCTTTCCCTGTACATACTACCCACCGCCATACGCTCCGCACCCCTTTCCCTGTACATACTACCCACCGCCATACGCTCCGCACCCCTTTCCCTGTACATACTACCCACCGTACATACCCTTTCCCTGTACATACTACCCACCGCCATACGCTCCGCACCCCTTTCCCTGTACATACTACCCACCGCCATACGCTCCGCACCCCTTTCCCTGTACATACTACCCACCGCCATACGCTCCGCACCCCTTTCCCTGTACATACTACCCACCGCCATACACTCTACATTTCCTATTTAACCTGTTCCCGACTGCACTATAGCCGAAAGACTGCTACAGCGCAGTCGGCTAGTTCTGGGAGGGTGTCCATGGATGTCCTCCCAGAACCACGCCCCCTGCACGCGATCTGTGATCACTGTGTCCTTTGGACGCAACTGATCACATGGCTACGGAACGGGCCAATCACAGTCGCTTTTACCATATGACTAGCTGTTTCCAATCACAGCTGATCACTGGGTAAATGGGAAATGCCGGGTATCGGCAGTCCTCTCCTCACACTGACAGCGCGTGAGGAGAGGAGAGCCTGTAAGCGGCATTGCGCAGGGGAACATCTACACTGGTGATCAGTGTAGCCTCATCAGTGTGGCCAATAGTGTCCATCAGTGCCCATCTGTGCTGGCAATCAATGCTTATCAGTGCCACGCATCAGTGCAGCCTATCAATGCTCATTAGTGCCCCCATCAGTGCTGCCCAGTGCCCATCAGTGCCACCTAACAGTGCCCATCAGTGCCACCCATCCGTGAAGGAGAAAATTACTTATTTACAAAACTTTATAACCGAAACTAAGAAAAACTTTTTTTTTTTCTTTTCGAAAATTTTGTACTTTTTTAGTTTGTTTAGCAAAAAATAAAAACTCCAGTGGTGGACAAATACCACCAAAAGAAAGTGCTATTTGTCTAAAAAAAAAAAAGATAAAACAATTTAGTTTGGGTGCAGTATTGCATGACCGTGCAATTGCCATTCAAAAACATGAGAGCGCTGAAAGCTGAAAATTGGTCTGGGCAGGCAGGGGGTAAAAGGCCCGGTAGGCAAGTAGTTAACATTACCACATTCTGCACTATGCAAGTTCTCACACACTATTTAACCACACCCCTTTTAAGTCACAAACAAATTTTAAGCGCAATGTAACTCACGCCCATTCTTTGCTGCGGCGCACTTCACATTTTTATCGCTGCCAAGTGCCCACTTTTGATCTTGCACAAGGGCCCATCGATTTCATGATCCGCCCCTGCGGGGACAGACTCCCGGGGCTGGGGGTACACATGGCAGGAGCCTGTGTGTTGCATCCTTGATCGTGATTGCAATGCTCTGTACATTTTAATTGATCAAAGTGCTTGCATTTATTTAATTTTTACAAATGGTGGCCTGTGCCTTTAACCAACATAAGGTGGTCTCCCTAGCATAGCTCTCACTGAAATCTCCTAGCATCTAGAAGCCCTCCCTTCCCTCTGTACTCATCCGCATTCCATGTCACCATACACACGACGCACACCTTTGTGAGTGATGAGCCAGCTTGAGGTACCACAGGGCACGAGCCAGGCGCTGTTGTCCTGGTAACGGCGGACCGTGATCAGCAGCAGCTCCACCTGCAGGGCCCGGGCCGAGCTTCCCAAAGTAATCTGCCAGAAAGGCCACTGGATCCTCCGGCCTGGCTTCCAGCAATTTGAGGACAGCTTCCCGCATCATAGTCCGCACTCCAGCCTGCACCAAGAAATCTGCCTCGCTGGTCTGCCTCTGAGGAGGCCGGGGGACCGGGGAGCTACCTGCAGCACGTCTCCTGTCTGCCATAGCCGGGTTCGTATGAAGCCGGTCAGGCGCCTCCATCTTTAGCTAGGGCAACGCTATTACATCCCACAGCAAGGTAACGCCTCAGCCATGTTTAGTTATGGAAAAATATGGTGGCCATGACGACTAAGGACGCCAGATGGAATCGCGATTCACATACCATGACAGTGACCCAGAGAAGGACCATACAAAGGAGCTGTCATTATTACAACCTTGTTTCTATTGATTACATTGTATTAGCTGTCACTTCACAAGTACAAGTAGTTTAGTTTCTGAGCACCACTAATGTACATATGCTGATAGGTAATGCAGCAATGAGAAATCCTTTAACCACCTGAGCTCTGGAAGATTTTACCCCTTTATGACCAGGCCATTTTTTTGCTGTTTAGCACTGTGCTACCTTAACTGCTAATTGCATGGTCATGCAACACTGTATCCAAACTAAATTTATAATCTTTGTTTTCACAGAAGTAGAACTTTCTTTTGATCACCACTGTGGATTTTATTTTTTTGCGATATGAATGAAAACAAAAACAAAAATTGTACATATATATTTACGTTCACATCAGACCCTCAAGGGGTGTACAATCTAAGGTCTCTAACTCACATTCATACATACACATACTAGGGCCAATTTAGACAGGATCCAATTAACCTACCAGCATGTCTTTGGAGTGTGGGGGGAAACTGAAGTACCCAGAGGAAACCCACACAGGCACAACATGCAAACTCCAGGCAGGTGGTGCCATGGTGGGGATTCAAACCAACGAGCCTAGTACTGCCATGCAGAAGTGCTAACCATTTAGCCACTGTGTTGCCCATAAATTTAAACTGCTAAATACATTTTCTCATCAGCAGTTAGAGCTGTCTTCTGACTTCTATCAGTGTCCAGCAGAGCTGGAGTTTTCATTCTCCTGTAGGAAGCTGCAGGATTCCTGACCTCTGGACAGTGCTGATTGGCCCTGTGCTGATCACATGCACTCTCCCAAGTAAAAAAAAACCCTCTAGCAATGCACACCAAACTGAGCATGTGCAGCTTGCCCCCAAGCCTCTGTTCTATCAGGAGATATTTAGGAGACACAGGAAGAAGGGGAGGATCAGAGAAGTCAAGATCAAACATCCTTTTTACACAGTGCGGAGGAATAACCCCTTAGGTCCCACATTGAGTATAACAAGCATGCTTTACTGCGTATACAGACTGATTTTACTATTGTGGGTTTAGTAACACTTTAATGTAAGTCTATGGGACTCGTACTTGTAAATTGCAAAGTGCTTATTTTGAAGACTTATATGAACGTTATTAGCCATAAAAGAAGCATGGGGACTCGGGTACTGCCCTGAGTCACATGAATCAGTGAAAATTTTTCTCAAAAAGTACAGTTTTTAAAGGGGCAGTCATTTTTCATTGCTTAAAGTAAATTAAAAAATTCCTTTAAATATCATGTCCGGGGGTCCCCTTAAGCTACCTGCAAAGTTGCACATCTGTACAATGTATAGAACCTGCTGCAGCAGGACTGACCTTTTTTTTTGTTTTAAATTATATTTTTATTTAAAAAAAACAGTGTGGGGGTGCCCCCCCCCAATTCTTACCAGTCCATTTAAGTCTGGTAGGAATATTAGGAGGGACCCCATGGTACAAAATAAAAGAAAAGTGCATGGGGTTCCCCCTAAAAGCCATACCAAGGCCTTTAGGCCCAGTAGGGCTTTTAAGGAGAACCCATCCCAAAAAATGGGGGGGGGGAAAGCATGGGGTCCCCCCCTATATTCCTTCCAGACCCTTGATCTGAGCACAGGCCTGGCAGGCAAGGAAAGGGGGAGGAACAAGTGAGTCCTCTCCCTGAACCATACCAGGCCACATGCCCTCAATATGGGGGGGTGCTTTGGGGTAGGGAGGGCCCTCTGCCCCCCCTCCAAACCACCTTGTCCCCATGTTGATAGGGACAAGGGCCTCTTCCCCACAACCCTGGGCTGTGGTTGTGGGGGTCTGCGGGGGGTGACTTAACGTCAATCACGGCATGTCACATCGACACTGACTCTGAAATAAAAAAATAACCTAGTGACCACCAACCTGCCCGCACCCACTGAGCACTCACCACTATCTGACATTTGCTGGTCAGATGTAAACAATTGAGTGGAGCTAGCGATGATGTCAGGTGCAAGACTTTGGCCAATCACAATGTACTGTTAGAGCACAGTGCATTCTGGGGTGCGGTGGGCGAAGAGCTGAACACCCTTACCATTCATGTGTTCACAGAGCACATGAACAGCCAATGTTCGAGTGGAACTTACGTTCGACTCGAACATCAAGGACATCACTAGTCTATGCAGAGTTGAACCAGATTTTGCACTCTTCAGTTTTAGTAAAACCCCATTGTGTTAACTGTGGAGGTAACCACCATATGGGAGGCATGAAGCTGTGCCCTGCCCAAAGCAAATACTACAGGCGCTGGAAGAAACTGAACCACTTTGCTAAATGTTGCTGTTGCATCCCAAATAAACCTCTGCATCACTTAAAGTGAGCGGATCAGAAGCCTGATGACTGCTGATTTAGCAATCAGAAAGTATCCGACAAATTTTATACCATGTCACTGCTGATGTCAAAATTATGCTGCTGTTATACAGTACATAGGAGCAAAGGTTTACATGTTAAATGTAGCAAGTTACCAGGGGTGGACTGACCATTTGGAAACTCAGGCACTGCCCGAGGGCCTGGGGTCAGTAGGGGGCCCCATGAGATGCCCCTGGTACCTTTTTCATAGGCTTTTTTTAGTTTGGGCAAGGACACAGGGCCCCATGATCCCCTATTGCCCAGGGGCCCCATGAGTTGTCAGTCCACCCCTGCAGCTTACAATGCCTATTTGCACCATTACCCACTCCAGGAGACATTGACCACCCCAATGGGCTACAGTAATACCCAAATTTCAGTGTTAGGTAAGGTTTTATTTCCTGTGACACACCAAAACAAGCATTTGGAAAGTTGTGCATTCTATGTCACTGAGAGTGGAGCCAATATATTAGGACTAGACTTGTTTTTAGTGCGCTGTAGCAGTTACTCCTCTTCAAGGGTTTCCAATCTAGTCATAGCCAACAAGAAAGGACAAATTCAACTATGTGTTGACCTTCAGCTGGCAAACAAGTCAATAATACCAAACTGTTACTCACTGTCAACTGCAGAGGATTTTACTTCTCAATGCCACAGGTCAAAAATCTTTACTAAACTAGACCTCCGTAAAAGCAAAAAAAAAAACTTCAAAGTGATTCAGTAGCACAAGATAGCATAAACATAAATCTCAAAGTGAAACTTGTGTAGTGAAAAAGTCCTTAATAGGCCCATAAATCTTCAAATTCTCCAAGAGAAATCACCATGTGTGCAAAATATATAGTGTCCCCCTTTTGCGTGTGAATTCACCACATAGCTATGCCTCCCATTCTCATGGTTGGTTAAATTGCTTAAAGATGTTTATCCAAAGAGAAGAAGATCAACTCCCACTTGATGGCAATCACCTCCTCAGATTCACCAAGATATCCCTCTTTTCAAGATACACAGATGACATTGCATAGATTGATTGATAATTGGTATAAGAGGTGCTAAGAATGATGTACAGCCAACCTCTTTCCTCCTTTGTAATCCTCTCTCAGATGGTCATGCAAAAAAGACAAAGCACAAAAGAACCCCAATGGTGCAGTACAAAACAGCTCCTTTATTCACTTAAGTAGACAGCCACTTACAAGCTATAAATAATATTCAAGCCCAAACATGTTGCAGATAAAGAAACCGAACAAATAAGCTATGAAAATCTCTGCAGTGCTCTCCCCACTGCCGAGTTCCACAAAATGGTGCTGTCCGCGTCTCTTTCCGGTTCCACTCACGTCCCTTCCGGTTGCCGCACAGTCCCACCCCGACACGTTTCGTCATATCCGACTTACCCATAGCGATGACTGTGCGGCAATCCATCCTTTATACCTCCTTCCATCCCAGCATCATTGCCAATGATAGGCTGATGGTAAGAGCTCTCAAACTACCACCCAGTGGGCAGTTCCACCCATGATAGCAAATGGGTAAGACACCGTCCATCCAGCCCGAACAAAAAATTTAACCCACAAATAGCCTAATTATTGCAACATCCTTGAGTAAAGCATGTACAGATTTGTATATCATCGTAATAATGACAAATCTAACATTGAACACTATGATTCACAGTGTAAATTCATTAAAAACAATCACAACATATAATTATATTTAAAATAGATTGAAGAAAAATGCAAAAAGAAACACCACACAAACATAAAAATAGAAAGAAAAAGAAAATAAAGTAAAAATAAATGTGAAAATAAAATAAATAAAAAAATAAAATAAAACAGCCTCTAAATGAAATGTAAGTAAAACACCAAACAAGGACCACTGAACTCTATTGATCTAAATAAAACATGCCTCAGATCTATACCTATAGGCTATTTGAAAGATCCCTCTTGCATTGCAGGCCAGGAATTTTAGTTTTCATTGCTTACCTGGGACATTGCTGCTTTGAACATATGCCTTTTAGATGTGCTTGGCTCCAAGCTGTTTCCAAAAGATAATGGTCACTGTTTTTGCAGGAATACCTGGTGTAACAATTTACTGATATCCTTATCTATGTACCATCTGTGGAGGAACACAATTTAATTCTTACTCAAGTTTTTTACAGACTGATGGACAACCTCACCCGAACTGAAGAAAAAATGTGGTTTTCCACAAACTGAGGTGGACTTTGTAGGCCACAGACTCTTATCACTTGGTACACAACCCTTACAATCCAAGACTGATGCTATACAAGCCAAAATATAAAGCAGAGCTTGCTTCATTTTTAGGATTCACTATTATGTAAGATTTGTAGCTGATTATGTTAAAATCACAACACCTTTGCTCAAAAAAGATGCAGAAAGGCGGTGGATACAAGTCTACTCTGAGGCTGTACATGCCTTGAAACCTGTTAAGCATCTGCCCTAACTTTCTCCCATTTTTCAACAAATGCACCAAAGTGTGTCTCTTGTGAT